CAATCATTAGTCTTCCGGAAGATGCAAAACAAAATAATGATGAAATATCACCTTATACCAACAATGACCATTCGATCAAAAACAAGCAAATCAAATCCCAGAAAACACAAAGGCTAGAGAGAGCACAAAGAGATGCGAACCCTTATACACTGCTAGTGGTGTACAACCATTGTGGAAAGTGATATGACACTACTTTAATATACTGGTTTGCACTGTCTAAAGAGAGTATTTTATGGTGTTGCTGCTGCTAAGGGCCAACAATAGTGACCCTATGCACAACAAGATTAAACACTGCATCGTCCTCCACCATGCTCACCATCATCCCTCCAGGCCTTGGCTCTTTGAGAACATTCCTCTTTTTCACTGCCCCTCCACTTTACCAAGCAAGATTTTCTTTTCCTGGGACTGGTCTCTCCTGACAATATGTCCAAAGTATATAATAAAAGGAAGTCTTGGCACCCTTTCCTCTAAGGAGCACTCTTGCTGTACTTCCTCCGAGACAGATTTATTTGTTCTTTTCGTAGTCAACGGTACTTTCAATACTGTTCACCAGCACCACAGATCAAATGCATCAATTCTTCTTCGGCTTTCCTTATTCAATGTCCAATGTTCACATGCATATGAGGCATTAAAAATACCATGGCTTGGGTTAGGCCCATCTTAGTCCTCAGAGTAACATCCTTACTTTTTAATATCCTAAAGAGCTCTTGCAGAGCTGATTTACCTAATGCAAAGCACCTTTTGATCTCTTGACTGCTGCTTCCCTGAACATTGATTGTGGAGACAAGCAAGACAAAATCCTTGACAACTTCATGCTTTTCGCCATTTATCATGATGTTGCCTATAGGTCCAGTGGTGAGGACTTTAGCCTTCTGTACACTGAGTTGCAATCCATACGGAAAGATGCACTTCTCTATCTTCATCAGCAAGTGCCTCAAGTCCTCACTTTCAGTGAGCATAATCTTTATATGGCAGGTTATTGATAAGGCTCCCTCCAATTTCGAAACCACATTCTTTTTCCTAAAAGCCAACTTCTCCAATGAGTTGCTCAACATACAGATTTAAGAAGTATAGTGAGAGGATACACCCTTGACATCCCCCTTTCCTGATTATTAAAAAAAGAAAAGAAAAGCAATAATCCCTCGTTCTCTTCTCAAACCTGCCTCTTGATCCATGTAAGAGTTCCACAGGAGCACAAACAAGTGTTCTAGAATTCCTATTCTTCTCAAGGGTCTCCATAAGGATGCCTTGATATAGTCAATAAAACATAAGTAAGCATATTTCTGATATTCTCTGCTTTCAGCCAAGATCCATCTGAAAGCAGCAATGATATGCTTTGTTCCACACCCTCTTCTGAATCCAGCATGAACCTCTGGTAGTTTCCTATCAATGTACTGCTGCAACTTTTGTTGGAAGATCATCAGCAAAAATTTGCTTGACTGTGAGATCAATGATATTGCTCTACAGTTTGAACATTCTGTTGGTCACCTTTCTTTGGCATGGGTACAAATAGGGTTATCTTCCTCTCTGTTGGCCAACTAGCTGTCTCCCAAATGTCCTGCCTGAGACGAGTTAGTGCTTCCACTTGTCTGCTTCAGGAAGTAGATTGTCAGATTAGATACCCAAATCCAAATTGTGATCACAGAGATTATTTTAAGTGTCTGCTCTATGATCAGAGAAGCTATAGAGACCACTTGACTTGAGCGTTGTATTTCATTGTAGTGTTTGCTATTGTGTCCCTCAATACCCTATCATTCTTAGGACTTGGCTGACTTCTATCTTGCAGCATAAACATCTCTCTCCACACAAGGTATCTGTCTCACTAATGAACCCTGGCCTAAGCATACAGCTGTGGGTGTCACTGGGGAATGAATGCCTCCAGTAAGCAGCTACTGCAAAGCCAGCGATTCAAACCCACCAGTTATTCTTTGGGAGAAAGATAAGACTATCTGATCCCATAAAGATTTACAGTCTCGGAAACCATATACGAAATCCCAATGAGTCAGAATCAACTCCATAGCAGTGTTTTGTTGGTTTGTTTAGAAATCCTTAGTCAATGAGTAAAAGGCATATAAGAACTATGTGTTTCATACTGGCTCCCAGAATTTCCAACAGCATGAAACTCCAGTTACCCACAGTCATAATTGCATTGTATACAGTCTTATTGGCTGCCTTCATTTCCTACCACATTTTCCCATTGCTCTAATGATGATTCCTTCAACTTTCAAGTACATTTCTTGCATTGAAATCCTCTTAAAACAGAAATTTCTTAAAAGCTTGAAGGTAAACAAGCGGCCATCTAGCTCAGAAGCAACAAAGCTCACATGGAAGAACATATCAGTCTGTGTGATCACGAGGTGTTGAAGGGATCACTGAAGAAAAATGGGTGCATAAGCAAATGTGGCGAAGAAAGCTGATGGTGCCCAGGTATCAAAAAGTATAGCATCTGGTGTCTTAAAGGCTTGAAGGTAATCAAGCGGCCATCAAGCTCAGAAGCAACAAAGCCCACATG